GCTCAGCATACAGGTTGAATAAGTATGGTGAAAGAATACAACCTTGTCACACACCTTTCTTAATTTTAAAACATTCAGTGTTCCCATGTTCTGTTGGTTAGTGATGGGAGTTATCAACTCTTTAATGAGATAAAGAATTTTTTTTAAAAAAAGATAATTTTTTGACATTTAAATTTTTCAATAAAATGACAAGTTATGGCCAATTATCAAAGTCTGAGATGGGCCAAACTAGCATTTGATTAAGAAATATTAAAAGTATCACTTGATCAGCACTTCCATTTCTAAGAATTGGTGCTACATCATTGCTTGTTATTATGGGAATTGGAAACAACCTAAATGTCCATCATGAAGGGGCTGGATTAAGTAAATTGTGGTACATCCAAATATAGAATACTCTTCAGCTATTCCATAGAATACTGAATGACCTAGAGAGATCCATAGCATAACATAAGGACAAAAGCCACTTCAAAAAATGCAGCGTATCGCAAGCGTCTGTTATTTAATATTTTCATGTGGGGTGTGTGTGTGTGTGTATGCAGAAATGTGGACAGCTTCTCACATTGCATGTGGAGCCTGGCACAGAACTCCAGCTGGTTGAATGTGGATGATACCACAAAGTTACCCACCTTCTACTGCCTTCCCAGCCAAACTCTACTCCACTCTCATTGAGCGTCTGCCCATTTCCAGCCACCAGAGACCTAACAAAGAAGTTGACAGATTAGCTTTTAAAAAGATGAGGATTTTTCTGAGAATGTGCTAATGGCGTCCTTATATATCTATCTGTTCCACATGCACTTTTTAAAAATCTCTAAGAACCCTGGTGTGGCGCTGTGGGGTAATACCGAACAAATACCACAAGGTCATCAGTTCAAACCCACCAGCCATAGGGCCGCTGTGAGCCCAAACCAACTCTATAGTACAAAACAACACCAACAAGAATGCATATCAAAACTAGTTCTTCTAAGTGGAAGACTTTTATTTCCTCATGCAGTCAAATTTTTCGTAAGAAGCATGAATTATTTTATGACCAGAAAAAAGCAGTACAGCTATTTCTGTTTTGAAAGCAATTGGAGGAAGCAGCTCACTGTGAAGCCCATTAGCTGTACTGAAGGGAGATGTGAAAAGGCCCTGATGCGGCTGCTGTAGCCACAGCTTCTACACACATGGGGATCCGCTGGGTGGGTCCCTCTAGTCTTCTCCCTTCTCTTTTCTTGAGCTGCAGTGACGTGACAGTGAGGTGATTGGACCACATGGTCTCCGAAGCCTTTTCTGAATCCCTGGTCCATTCGCATTCCTCACTTACACATCCTACTCAGGTTCCATCTCTCTCATTCTGATGCTGAGAGTTTGATCTGTGCTTTTGGATTTTGAAGACCAGAATGTGAGAGGGCAGAGACAGCTAGATGTAATGAAATGGGCTGTCCGTTGAGGGAGTCCTCTGACTCTGATCTAGACACGTCTCAAAAGTCCTGTCTGTGGATTAGTCTACCAAGGTAAGGGCAAACTTGCTTGAAAGGCAGTTACCCAAAGTAATCTTCAAAATATCTTGAGTCTGGAGCCACAGGAATGTTAATCTCCTCTGTGAAACCTTGAGAAACTGACCTATTCATTCTAAACATTCCAGTTAGATTTGCAACCACCCTCACTACCTCACCTTCAGGCCACACCCAAAGTCTCCCACAGTTGCCCGTAGGCTCTTTCCTTCCTCCAGACCCTTGCTGGAACTGTGGACTCTGCCCAGTCGGTCTGTCTACAATCCTCATCTCTCACCTGGTGCCCTCCTCATTCTGCTTCGCTTGGTTTAAACTGTACTTGCCTCCCCCAACCCCCCGCATAAGGGCGAAGCCAATGCTGTGTCCTCTAGACTCCCACAGTGGTTCACTTTCCCTTCTCCCAGCCTTTGCAATTCTAGGCAGTGAGTACTATTACTAGCCCTTCTCTGGTCCCAGCACCTGCATAGGGCCTGGCACTGAGAGGTACTTGATGAAAGCTGGATGGCTGGATGGCCAGATGGATAAAGGAGAACGAATGAACCAGAGAAAGGACTCAGTCACTAGTACTGAGGTATCAGAAGCAGTTTGCTAGTGTGTGCTAGTCATGCTTTTCATCCATTCTCTGGAACTGTCCTTATCAAATAACTGGGCCCAGCTTATCTGTGTTTTGAAATACTTTGGGGTGGATACAGTTGACTTGTTCTGCAGAAAATCATGTTTTTCCAAATGAGACTTTAAATGACACAGAGCACAGCATTATGGGCAAAGGCCCCCACCTCTGGAATCAAGACCAGGCCTGAGGGTTTGGAATCAAGGCCAGGGGCTGGCTCCAGGCTGCCTGGCTTTGATATTCTGATCTTGGCACTGAATAAATCCACATCTCTTTTTGGTCCCAGAGTAACCTAAAGAGATTGAAGGTTTAAAGGCACAGGAAGTCAGACCTTGAGTTTCTAGCTCAGGGGTTGTTGTTGTCAAGTGCCATTGAGTTTGGGCCCATAGCGACCCTGTATAAGGTTTCCAAGGAGTGACTGGTGAGTTTGAACTGCTGACCTGGCAGCTCAAACTGACTTTGTAGTCGAATGCTTATCCTATAACATCACACCAGGACACCAGGTCGGAGGTGGGGAATCTTTTTTTCTGCGAAGGGCCACTTGGCTATTTATGACATCATTCACAGACCATACAAAATTATGATCTTACAAATGTGGTCAAGGACTCCTGACACTGTATGATCAGCACTGGACTACGAACCACAGGTCAGCAGTTCAAATCCACCAGCGTTTCCTTGGAAACCCTACGCAGGGTCACTGTGAGTCAGAACCGACTCAACAGAACTTAATGACAACAAATTTGGTTAGACATTTCATTAACTTACCACTAATCCGCAAGGTCAGAGGTTCAAGCTCACCAGCCACTCCTTGGAAACCCTATACAGGGTCACTATGTGTGTGTGTGTGTGTGCAGAAATGTGGACAGCTTCTCACATTGCATGTGGAGCCTGGCACAGCACTCCAGCTGGTTGAACGTGGATGATACCACAAAGTCACCCACCTTCTACTGCCTTCCCAGCCAAACTCTACTCCGCTCTCATTGAGAACCAACTCGATGGCACTTAACAACAATGTGATACCTGAAACTGGTTGCCTTGGCAGGGCCAAACCAAATGATTTCATGGGCCGTATAAGGGACGTTCCCCACCCCTGTTCTAGGTGAATTAAATGCTTCTCTGCAGTTCAAACCTACCAGCTGTTGCCCGGAAACCCTGAACAGGGTTACTATGAGTTGGAACTGACTCGACAGCACTTAACAACAACAACATGGAGTTCTGGTGTTGATCTGTAGGATAAGCACTGGATTGCTAACTGTAGGGTTGGCAGTTCAAACCCACCAGCCACTTCTCAGAAACCCTATACAGAGTAGCTATGAGTCGGAACTGACTCAAAGGCACTTAGCAACAACAACAACATAGAGGAATCAATCAAGGGCTGTTACTTAACTGCCTGGCACTTTCTTGAACCAGCCTTGCCGGGATAGTCTGGTGGCCTCAGCACAAATAGAGAATAAAGCCATCTGTGTATGATTCCGTGTGGGCATCACTAGGGCCTCTAGTGCTGGCTCAGCTCAGTGGGTAACCACAGCTTGGCTTCTGTGCCAAGGGATCCTGAGACCTCAACTAGGCTCAGCAGGAAGGCGTGCTGTGGTCCATCGGGACTGCCTGCCACCGGAGGATAAGGGAAAAGCGAAGCAGGTGTACCGTCTGAACTCAGTCTTTGGAGGGTGGAAGATGTAGGATTGAATTCCACTCTACTCGGCAGGGCCTCAGTGTGTTCCTCTCTAAAATGGAAGTGTATTAGGGCTAAGCTCTGTAACAAAGAAGTCTCAACGTGTTGTGGCCTAAAAGCAAGTTGGAAGTTTCATTCTCTCTCACAGGAGAGAGTCTAGAGGTTGGTGGGCAGTTCTGAGCTGATGGGACCCTCTGCTGTGGGTCCATGGTGGTCTAGTTCTTGTCATTTCCCAACCAAGAGGAAGGAGGGCTGGACAAGGGGAACAAGTATCTAGCATGTGTTGAATGGTTTCAGTGGTTTGATCCAGAAACTGCCCACATCACTGCTCAGATCCTATTAAGCAGAATAGTCACATGGCTACTCCTAGCTGTGAGGTGGGCTGGGGAACTCTGTGGCAGCTAAAATGCTCTTAAATAGAAGGAGAAACTGGGTCTTGGGGTGAGATCCCCAAGAGGGGTGATGCTGGCTACCTGTCTGGAGTGCTTTGACAACTGGTGATAACACATGCCCCACATCTGGCACCCAGGAGACCCTCCCCAAGTTCACAAAGTGCTTCTCTTCCCTGCCCAGGAGCTGGTGAAGATCCTGCACAAGGCGCTGGAGGCTGCCCAGCTGGAGAAGAGGACATCAAGCGCCTACCTGATGGCACCCGAGGACAAGGACCGGCTGGAACTAGTGCGCCACAAGGTGCGGCAGATCGCGGAGCTGAGCGGGCGGGTGGAGGCACTGGAGCAGGAACGGGAGAGCCTGGTGCAGACGGCGAGCCTGCGGGAGCAGCAGGTTCAGGAGCTGCAGCAGCAGGTGCGGCTGCTCATGGACAAGAACCAGGCCAAACAGCAGGTCATCTGTAAGCTCTCTGAGGAGGTCACCCGGGACTTCATGCACCCCCTAGACCATCCACCCGCGCCCTCTGATGCTGCTGACAGGGACTTCCTGAGCCAACAGGAGAAGATGGAGCACCTGAAGGTAGGGCTCTGCCCACCAGGCCTGACCAGCCCGTCCCTGTGGGTTTTCTAGGTGGAACAAGTATAACCCTTAATGCTGGAATATTCATACTGGAAATTGGGGTTGATATTACCACATCCTCACTTTCTTGCTTGATCTTTTCATGATGACTTGAGCTGAAAAATAAAGGTGTCTCTAGATGACCAAACTAGAGAGAACAGAGTCCACCACGGGATCCGAATTCCTGCATTCTAGAGTAGCTGAGTCTGGGGCCTGGCCTGCCCAGCCTCTTTTGTGCCACTCTGATGCCCTCCGGAGCCTATACAAAGAGACCCATGGCTGGCGGGGACATGCTCGCGACAGAGACAGGAATCACTGCTCCCCTGTGACTGCTGTGTGGCTGCACCGTCTTGCACAACTTGCTTGTCATTTTGTCCTCACACCAGCGCTATGAGCCACCTCTTTTATCCTCCTCCCCGCTTTACAGATGAGAAGGCCGAGGCTGAGAAAGGTTATAGCACTCGTCCAGGGTCTTGTACTGAAGAAGTGGAGGCGCTCGAGTGGGGTTGGAGCCCACGTCTGTGACCGGTCAGCCTCTCTGCCACCTCCTAATGCCTTTGCCTCTCCTACCTACTGTCTCCTCTCACCCTTTCTTCCCCTCCTCTGTCCTGTCTCTCTGCCCCATCCCACAGGGACAGATCACAGCACTGGGAGAGGAACTGGATTTTACTTGTGATGCCTGTCAGAGGAGGTTCACAGGAGCTACCAGACTTCCCAGGGCCTGGGGTTGTAGACAGACCCTACTTTCCCTAAATGCAGCCTCTTAGGCAGTGCCAGCCCTGACCTGCACCCTGCCAATCACAACCACATAGGTTTACCACCATGTAACCATGGAAACACTGCTGTATCAACAAACTGCTGTGGAAACAAAAGCTTTTAAGAGAACCAGTGAGCAATGTGGTGCAGTGGGCAGTGCCCAAGCTTTGAACTCAGACAGACCTGTGTTTGAATCCTGGCTCTGTCTCTTAGGAGCTGTGTGACTTTGGACAACTTATTGAACTTCTCTATAAAATCACTAGTGATACCTCCCTCTTGGAGTTCTTAGAAGGAGATAGAAGGTAACATAAAACCCAAATTCCTTCCCCTTTTCTTTCTTTCAGCAAGCACTGACAAATCCCATAACCACTCACTGAACAGCTTTTCTATTTAGCTGAGATGATGAGTAGTGTTATGTCAGTGGTAGAAGCCTTGCCTGCCATGAAGGAGATCCAGGTTCAATTCCTGGCCAGCACATCTCACCAAGCAGCCACCACCCATCTGTCATTAGAGACTTACATGTTACACAATAGGTGTCAGTATTGCTTCCGACTCAGGTGAAGTAGGAAGAAAAGCCTGGCAATCTACACTTCAAAAATCAGCACTGGAAACCCTATGGGTCACAGTGGAACACTGCCCGACCTGTGACTAATCATGGGGACACTGTAGGATCCTGTAGCTTTCCTTCCATAGTGTATGGCGTCACTGAGTCAAGGCTGGCGACGAATAACAAGTCTGAAATTAGAGATTCTTTGGATTTAAAAAAAATTTTTTTTAATACCTTTCAAACGCAGATGCAGCTAGATTGCTAGAAAGGTCTCCTTCCTTCACACAGCAGTGAAATGCTTCCATCAGATTGCTTTCCTAAGCTTCCCCAGCTGAGTGTTCTCTTCTGTTTGTCCTATTGGAATCCACTATTCAAGACCCGGTGAAAAAGCACAGCAGGCAAAGAAATTGTTAACTGGAAGCTGCTAGACTGCCCCAGAGCCTGAGAGGGAATTGTATGTTCAGGGCCTGAATTGATCCCCAAGACCCAATATGGTGAGACGCTGGGCATCTGATTCACATTAGCTAAATGTACATTTGCAGATGACCCTTGGAGATGCAGGGTTTTGTGCTAGAAATAGCTGCATGTGCTAGAAGTTGCTCATTTTTTAGGCTTCAGGTGGCTCACCTAGAAACCCAAACTTGTCCAGTTGATTCGGACTCGTGGCAGCTTCACGCATCAGAGTAGAAGAGTAGAGCAGGTCCAGAGGGTTTTCTTGTTTGTAATCTCGATAGTAGCAGATCACCAGGCCTTTCTTGCAACTCTGCCGGGTGGATTCAGACCTCCAGCCTTTACATTAACGGTCTAGCTTATGTTTGTACCACCCAAGGACTTATCAAAAATCCATTGTTTTGAACTTTGGGGGCAGACCTTGTTTGTACCTCCTATTGCCCCAGGAGTGAGGACACCAGTTTAGGGAAATGCCTCCTTGTTTTTTGTTTTTTTAGGATCCCGCACTCCACTCTTCTCCCTTCATGGTCCCAGGGACCTCCGCTCCTAGACTGCAAAGTCAATCACTCCCCTCCTTTTGCTACAAAATGTCTACCTTTACATTTCCAACCCTGACAGTCAGTCCTGATAGCAATTATTCACTATTGTGCCACATGAATGCTATCCCCATCTCCTTTCATCAGACAGATTGGATACTACTCAGTGGAGATTCTACCTTCCTCTGCACCCTCTGGATCTAGGCTCCCTCTTGAAAGTTTATAAGCCAGTCACTTCTTGCCTTTGTAGCCCCCCATTTTGTGTAGCCAATGTCCAAGTTGCCCATCCCTGTCTACCCTGTGTATCAAGGGGGTGGGAATGAGTCTCGCTGTAAAGATTTGTTCCCTCTTTTGAGCTGCTGCATCCTTAAGTGTAGTTCAAGTTCATCAAATTGTATCAGATTGCTCTTTTTTTTCCTCTTCTTTCTTGTTCTATTGAGTTCTAATCATCCAGCCATTGAAGCCAGGTCAAGTGGGTATTATCTACAAGTGTGGGTGTACTTATGTATGTGTCCTCTCTTCTTATCAGCTGGACACTTCACTCTCCACTCCAGTCCTCTGTGGCTATGTCACTGACTCTGGGCCCAAGGGTCCCCAGGTCTTGCCGTACTGCTGGCCAACCAGGTCTCCACACGGGTTCAAAGGAGTCTATTGAATGTGGTAGGGCTTAGCTCACAGCTTCATTGCTGTTTTACCTCACTTCCCCTTATCAGTGACCAACATGGTCACCAGTCAGAGCACATGTTTTCTTGTGTGTTCCCATTGAATCTTAGTCTTGGAAGGGGGTTTGCCCTGAGGGGACCTGACCACTTGCCTTGGTGTTTCCTGGGCAAGCAACTTGCTTGTTCTTGTAGTAGTCAGTTGGACTGCCATTATAGTTTTGTATTTTTCCTGTCGGCCTTTCTTTCAAGAAGTATCTTCTGTTCTTCTAGCCGCTCCAGGCTGGTCTGCTTGTCCTTTCCAGTGGAAATTTCCCACCTCAGAAGATTCTGGATGGGGTTCAGGATTCCACCTATGGCCTTATGCCCAGTGGCTCCTCAGGAAGCCTCCTTCACTGGGCACGTTGTAGCCCCATTTTAGGTATTTGGTGTGGCGCAGTGGGTTAATGCACCAGACTGCAAAGCCATTTGAACTGCAAGGTCGGCCGTTCAAGCTCACCAGCTGCTCCTTGGAAACCCTATATAGGGTCGCTATAGGTTGGAATCAACTCGACGGCACTTAACAACAATAATCAGTTATAGGCAGAAGATGGACTCACAAGCTTTCTATTGTGATATTTCTGGCTATTCTTTTCCCTCCCCCTCAAGTGTCTATTTTATAATGGTATGCCAGGGAAATCAAGATTCAAAAAACAGCCAAGCATCTTAACATTATTTCCCCCTTTTACCCATTCAAACCATGTCTCAATCCCTGGATCCCAGAGCCCTGTTGTTCCAAGGTTGTGTATGCACACATCATTATTTACCTCTGTCCCACTTAGCCCATGCAAACCTGCCTAATTGTTTTCCCATCTGCCTTATTCTTCCATTCCCCTCCCCCTTCTGGTGTATTGCCCCCTCCCCAGCATCCAAACTATCCTGTGTCTGTTCCCTACCCTGTGCTCCACCTTCCACTCCCTCCCCTCACCCCACCGTCTTGTTTTTGAAACTCAGTTTGACAGTAGAATCACTGACCACTTAACTCTCAGAGTGGGGAAAAAGGGGACAGCTAACTCAGATGGGAAAGGACTGATAAATTAGAGAGATCAAGAGGACTGAAAGGAGAACCGCATCTTCCCGCACCCAGCCTGTAACTTTCGCACTGAGCACAGGCCCAGATCCAGGAGTGACTCCTGACAAGGCCCCTGTGAAGGCAGGCAGCTCTCCCCCCCTTCTCCTGACCCCTCTTTCTGATCATCTTCCTTCTTTCTCCTACCCCCACCCCCCACACTGATGACTGTCATGTGACTTTTCTCTTCTCTGAGCCCAGTCTTTTTCTTTCCTACAGTCCTGAGCCAAGACGAGCACTCAAGGTAGGGAGACCAGTGGTAAACCCAGACACTGCGCACACCCCCACCCACTGCTGCTCTGGATTCAGCTCACATGGGTCCTCAGTCTCTGTGTGGTCTGGCGCTGGGCAGCGGGCTGTCGTCTGCCACATGCCAGTGAGAAACTCCTGGACCTGGGATGAAGGAGGGCTGGCACAGGGACGTAGAGCCAAGGGGGTTGTGGGTAAGCTTTCTCTCAGCAGGACTTCCTGGTGTGGTACTGTGGGATCAGCACTGGACTGCAAACCTTAAGGTCAGCAGTTCAAACCCACCAGCTGCTTCTTGGAAACTCTATACAGAGTCACTATGAGTTGGAACTGATTTGATGGCACTAAACAACAACTATGGGCAAAATATTGAAAGATGCAAAAAGCACCAATAAACTGTTGAAGTTGTATACAGTGGCATCAAGAAGCTGTATACAGTTGTATACAGTATCAAAAAGAAATAGTTGATGTTCAGCCATTTCAAGAAGTAGTATATGATCAAGAGCCAATGGTACTGAAGGCACTGGCAAAAAACAAGGCTCTAGGAATTGATGGAATACAAATTGAAAGCTTTCGACAAACTGATGTAGCACTGGAGGCACATACTCATCTATGCCAAGAAATTTTGAAGACAGCTACCTGGCCAACTGATTGGAAGAGATCCATATTTGTGTCCATTCCAAAGAAACGTTACCCAGTGGAATGCAGAAATAATCAAATAGTACCATTAATATTACATGCAAGTAAAATTTTGCTGAAGATATTAAAAAATGGTTGCAACAGGGAACTGCTAGAAATTCAAGTCAGAGTCAGAAGAGTACATGAAACTAGGGATGAAATTGCTAACAACTGATGGATCTTGGCTGAAAGCAGAGAATACCAGAAAGATGTTTACTTGTGCTTTATTGACTGCGCAAAGGCATTCGACTATGTAGATCATAACAAACTATAGATAACATTGTGAAGAATGGAAACTCCAGAACACTTAATTGTGCTCATGAGGAACCTATGCATGGACCAAGAGGTAGTCGTTCGAACAGAACAAGGAGATACTGAACGGTTACAAATCAAAAGTATGTACAAGGGTTGCATCCTTTCACCATCCTTACACAATCTGTGTACTGAGCAAGGAGTCCTGGTGTGGTGCTGTTGGATAAGCACTGGACTGTTAACCACAAAGTCATTGGTTCAAATACACCAGACGCTCTTCAGAAGCCTATACAAGGTCACTATGAGCTTGAACCAACTACATGGCAGTTGATAACAACAACAACATGCTGAGCAAATAATCTGAGAAGATGGATTACATGAAGAAGAATGTGTCATCAGGATTGGAGGAAGTCTCATTAACAACCTGAGACATGCAGATGATGCAACCTTGCTCACTGGAAACAGAAGAGTTAACATACTTACTGATGAAGATCAAAGACTATGGTATAGATTGCACCTCAGTGTAAAATAAAAATCCTCACAACTGCACCAGTAAATAATGGAGAAAAGATTGAAGTTGTAAAAGACTTCGTTTTATTTGGATCCACAGTCAACACTCATAAGAACAGCAGTCAAAAACTCAAAAGACATAATGCATTAGGCAAATCTGCTGTACAAGACCTCTTTAAAATGGTCATGAGCAAAGATGTCAGTATGAAGACTAAAATGAGCCTCATCCAAGCTATGATATTTTCAATCACTTCACATGCATGGGAAAGTTGGACAATGAATAAGGAAGACCACAGAAGAATCAATGCATTTGAATTATGGTGTTGGAGAAGAATACTGAAAATACGATGGACTTTCAGTAGAACAACCAGGTCTGTCTGAGAAGAAGGTGTCAGAATGCTCCTCAGAAGCAAAATGGTGAGACTTCATCTCTCATACTTTGGACATCCTACTTAGGACTTGTTATTGGGAAGGACCAGTTTCTAAAGAAGGACATCATGAATGGTAAAGTAGAGGGTCAGTGAAAAAGAGGAAGACGCCCAATGAGATGGACTGACACAGTGGCACCAACAATGGGCTCAAACGTAATAAAAATTGTGAGGAAGGTGCAGAACTGAGCAGTGTTTCATTCTGTTGTGCATAAGGTTCCTATAACTCAGAGTCGATTCGACAGCACCTAGCGATAACAACTACGGGCTCAGCACCTCTGGGTTTGGCTCTGGTTGTTTTCCATATCAACTGCATGACTGAGGGAGGGGAAGTGACTTACCTCCTGTGTGCCTCACTGGTGCAGTAGGAATCAGAGTGCAATGGGGGAATTTAATACTTACCCGGCATGTGATGAAGATGAAACAGGTAATATGTGAGGGTAATGGGCCTCCTACCTGCTCCTTGTTTTCTCCAGCAACAGGGGCCTCACTCCCTACCCTCGCCACCCTCACCCCACCCTGACAGCTTTCAGGGGGAAAATGCTAGGCTCAGTAATGTTCACCACAGCATTGTTTACAACCCAAAACAGCTAGCGTTCAAATCATCTGTATGAGGCCCAAACAGTCAACCTTTACCACAAAGCAAAAATGAGAAGGGAAGGTGGGGTGGGGGACAGAGAAACTAGATGAATGGAAACAAAGCAAGTAGAATGGCAATGAGAATTCTGATACATTGTGAAAAATGGAACCCGTAGCACTGAACAATATAGCTTGTTGTTTCTAAGTGCCGTTAAGTTGGCTCCAACTTACAGCAACCCTATGTAAGATAAAACAAAACACTGCCTGGTACGGCACCCACCTCACAATTGTGGTGTTTGAGGCCACTACTGCAGCCCCTTTGTCAGTCCATCGTGTGGAGGGTCTTCCTCTTCTATACTGACCCTCTGCTTTACCAAGCATGATTCCGTCTCCAGGCACTGGCCCTTCTTGATAACATGTCCAAAGTACGTAAGACAAAGTCTCCCCATCCTCACTTCCCAGGAGGATTCTGGCTGTACTTCTTCCATCACAGATTCTTTTGGTAGTCCATGGCACATTCGGTATTTTTAGCCAGCACCATAATTCAAAGGCATCAATCCTCTTTTGGTCTTCCCTATTCATAGTCCTGTTGTGGCGCTGTAGGGTAAGCACTAGACCGCAGGGTCGTTTGAATCACAAATTCGGGGGTTCAAACTCACCAGCTGCTCCTCAGAAACACTATACAGGGTCACTATGAGTCAGAACTAACTCAACAGCACTTAACAAGAAACAGCATTCGTAGTCCAGCTTTCAGATGCACATGTTAAAGCAATTAAAAATACCATGGCTTGGATCAAGAACACCTTAGACTTCCAAGTGACATTTTTGCAGCTCATTTTCTCAGTGCAGTCTGTCCTAATTCATTAAGTTGTTTGATTTCCATGGATGGGAGTTGATTGTGGGTCCAAATAAAATTAAATCCTTGACAACTTCAGCCGTTTCTGTTTACCCTGATGTTGCTTATTGATCTAGTAGTGAAGATTTTTGTTTTCTCTATATTGAAGTGTAATCCATACTGAGGAGTCCTAGTGTGGTACTATAGGATAAGCGCTTGACTTCAAGGTCAGTTTGATCCACAAGGTCAGGGGTTCAAGCTCACCTGCCGCTCTTCGGAAACCCCATACAGGGTCACTATGAGTCGGAATCAATTTGTTGCTAACAACAATTCATACTGAAGGCTATAGTCTTTGATCTTCATCAGTTAAGTGCTTGAAGTCCTCTTCATTTATAGCAAATAAGTTTGTATCAATCATCTACTTAGTACAGGTTGTAAATGAGTCTTCCTCCAATCCTGGTGACTATTAAAGGAGGAAGTCCAAGTTGAACTGAAAGCACTGGAAAAAAAATAAGACTTCAGAAATTGATGGAATACCAATTGAGATGTTTCAACTAACAGATGCAGCACTGATGGCTCACTCATCTTTGCCAGGAAATGTGCCTGGAAGAGATCTATATTCATGACCATTTCAAAGAAAGGTAATCCGACAGAATGCATAATTTATCAAACAGTATCAATATCTGATGCAACTAAAATTTTGCTGAAGATAATGTGAAAATGGTTGCAGCCGTACATTGACTTAGAACTAACTGACAGACATTCAAGCAGGATTCAGAAAAGGATGTGGAATGAACTATCATTGCTGAACTCAGCTGGATCTTGAATGAAAGCAGAGAATACCAGAAAGATGTTTACCTATGGTTTTTGCTTATCCAAAGGCATTCATAGCAAACTCTGGATAACATTGCAAAGAATGAGAATTCCAGAACATTTCATTGTGCTCATGTGGAACCTGTACATAGACCAACAGGCAGCCATTCAAACAGAAAAGTAAATACTGACTGGTTTAAAAATCAGGAAAGGTGTGCATCAGGAAACAATATGTATAGAAATCGTTAAATAGGAACCTAATTTTCTGTGTAAACTTTCACCATAAATACAATAAAGTAGGATACAAAAAACAAAGCTATATTCACCCAGTGAGATAACCATCAGGCGTTACAAATGATTATTGGGCAGCTTAAGCAGCAACACAGAAAAGTATTACCAAAGGACTGAGTGAAAAAACATCCACCCTAAATTGTTCTGTATAACTGTAAATGTGTCCTGTGTGTTCCTTGGACAATGAATAAAGAAGCCTGTGGAAGAACTGATGCATTTGAATTATAGTGTTGGAGGATATTGAAAGTACCATGAACTGCTAGAAGAACAAATAGTCTGTCTTGGAAGAAGTACAGCCAGAATGCTCCTTAGAAGCCAGGATGGGGAGACTTTGTCTCTCATACTTTGGACATAGTATCAAGAAGGACCAGTTCCTGTAAATGGACAACATGCTTGGTAAAGTGGTGGGTCCAGGAAAAACGGGAAGCCCCTCAATGAGGTAAATCGGTACAGTGGCAGCAGTGATGGACTCAAGTGTAGCAACGATTGTGAGGCTACTGTAGGGACTGGGCAGTGCTTTGTTCTGTTTGGCTGTGAGTTGGAACCTTACAACAACAATTGTATGTTTTAAAAAAAAAAAAACACTACTTGAGCACTTGTTATTTGTTAGTTCCTGTATTTAAAGTTATCACACCTCATTTAATCTCCCAACTTTCCTGTGGGGTAGTTGGTATTTGCCCCTCTTGTAGATAAGGAAATTGAGGGTCAGAGCAGGGCAGTGACCTTCTGAGGCCTCCCAGGCAGGATGTCAGAGCCAGAACTTGAACACTCAGCTTAATGTTCTCCCTGCCACATTACACTAGGATCAAGTTTCGAATAGGGAATTATGGATAATTTCCCCCCCAGCGTTCCTTTTCTATTGTCACAACTAGAAATGGCTCAAGAAAGGAAATGTTAGTAGATGCTTTGAGGGACCAGGGAAATATTTATGGTGCAACTCAGAATGCTTTTCGGTCTTCTCGCCAGGATGACATAGAAGCATACCGGACCCAGAACCGCTTCCTCAATGCCGAGATCCATCAGGTGACAAAGATCTGGAGAAAAGTGGCTGAGAAGGAGAAGAACCTCCTGACGAAGGTGCCCATCCTGTCTGAGTGTCCCTCACTCCCTGTCTGCTGCCCTTCATGAGGAGGGCCTGTGCCAGGTCTTCTCCAGTTCCCTGTGGTCTGGCTGACTGTGGTGCCCGCCCAGCAGTATCACTGGGCCACTGTGGTGTAGGGACATTGAAGTGAATAAACTCAGTGCCTGTCTTGGGAGACCACAGACTAGTGAGGGAGTCAGATACACAGGATTCTTGGGGGTCTTCAGGGAGGGAGGGAAGTCAAGAGGTGCCTTCTGAGCTGAGTCTTGAAGATGAGTTAGTGTTCTCCAGGTAAACAGAGTGGCGGGGGCCTGGGAAGTCCTCAGTGGGACTTTGGTTTGAAAAACCTGCTGTGTCTGCTCCATGGAGGGTGGGCTTGAACAGGTGGGACTGGAAGTGGGGAGATTATTGGAGCTGTGGCAGGAGTCCCTGAGGAGGGTATAGGGGATGGCACACAGGCAGCAGCTCTGGCAAAGGAGGGACGTGCAGGTGGGCACGAGGTGGTCAGCTTGTGCTCAGTCAGTGTTTACAGATGGTGCCCCAGCTGAGTGGGCCGCAAGCCTGCAGCCTTGGCCATCACCCAGGGAGCCAGGGCAGCCCAGGGGCGCCAGCGACACTAGGAAACAGGTTTTTACTCATCATCTAACAGAAGGAATCAAGGAGAGAGCTCCCTGACTTGCCCAGCACCACCCAGCTTGTATAACTAAGACTAAGACCCAAAAATCCAAGGCAAGTAGGAGTAGGTAGAGAGGGCCCCCACCCAGGGTACCACGTACAGGAAGGCCACAAGGTGGGAGACAGTGCCGTGTGGGAAGAGCCCATGTGGTGGCAGCAGAGAGCACGAGAGCAGTGTCCACTGGCGTGAGTCCATCCAGGGCACTGCTCAGCAGACCTATCTTGGGCCAGCATTGGCAAAGACTTTATATACATGAACTCATCTGATCCTCACCAGCTCTGAGCTAGACTCTGCATTACCAGGGAGGAAGTCAAGTACAGAGAGGTTAAGTACCTTGACAACAGGTCACACAGCTAGCAGGTGGCTGAACCAGGGCAGGACTGCCAGTCATACAAGAGCCTGTGTCCCTGCCCCTTCCCCCTCTTCTGAGCCCAGCTCCAATCCGGACCTGGTCCTCTCTTTTTTTTTTTTTAAATGTTTTATTGTGAATTATATGATAGTTTACATGGGAGAACATTAGTTTTACATTCATTCTGTTGTATATCATTTCATTGCCATGGTTACAATCCCCTCCATGCATCATCAACCAACCAAAAGGCCTGGTCCTCTCTTGCCTGGACCCCTTCCTTCGGCCTTGCTCTGAGCCCCTCAAGTGTAGACCCATATCCTTACGAAACCACGAAGGTTTGGACCAGATGGTGTGACCAGCCCACTCTCCCCTCCTGCAGTGTGCCTACCTCCAAGCCAAGACTTGCCAGGTGGAAAGCAAGTACCTGGCAGGGCTGCAGAGGCTGCAGGAGACCCTAGGGGAGGAGGCCAGCAAGTGTCCAGAGCTGCTGCGCCAGCTCATCCAGGAGGCGCTTCAGTGGGAGGCCAGCGAGGCCGTGGCTGACAGCGTCGGACTGAGCCCCATCAGGTGAGCACGGCTGGCGGCTCTGCATTCCTTTAGCTCCTCTGACTGATGCCTGCTGTGTGTGTGGCCAGCAGGAACCCTGTTTGACAGCTGACTTGGAGAAAGTGACCCCTTGCCCAAGGCCACAGAGCGCACTAGTACGGCAGGACATGGTCTTCTTCCTCCATTGCCCCGGCTGCTTCCCAGGGATGTTCATCAGAGACAGGGCAGGGGAACCAAGCCCTGGCTGTTTGCTACAGCAGAAGGGCTGTGACAGGAGGGCAAGGCCTCTGGAGACTGGGGTCATTGACTTCCCAGTGACAGGAGCCCAAGCTCTGCAGCCAGACTCAGCTCTCTCACTGTGTGACCTTGGACAAGTCACATTGCCTATAAAGTGACCTCTCAGCCTATAGAGTGTGGGCTATGTATGACCCCTGTTAGCAGAGTCATTGGAATTAAATGAGCACACCCAAAACACAAAAACCCAGTACCATCTTGTCAGTTCCAACTCTTAGTGACCCACAGACTGAGGATTTCTGAGGCTGGAAATCCTCACAGGATCAGAAAGCCTCATCTTTCACCTGGAGTGTGGCTAGTAGGTTTGAACTGCCAACTTTGTGGTTAGCAGTCCAGAGGGTGGTCTCCTTAGGAGCCCTGGGGTGTTGTAGGTTAAGCACTAGACTGCTAATAAGTGTCAACTAAATGGAAGGCCATCTAGAACTAGTCCCCCATGCTCCTGTATCCGCTTGTCATTGGTAGGGTCCCATTGTCATTGGTTTCCCATCCATCCCTGGGCTTACTGGCTGCCGCAGGTAAGGTTTTGTAAGAGTTGTACAGCACTTCTCAGGCCTCAGGCTGCATGGCGTCTAGAAGGATGCTCTGTATCTGTACCCACTGTCCACCAGAGGCTGTCTAGGCCCCCAGCAGTTTACCACAGGAATCCGAGAACTGAAGAGACCTGCTCAGAGCTACATGGCTAACCTGCAGCACAGACAGGGCAGAAGCCAGGTTTTGTGGGCTTTGAGGCCTCACCCCCCAGTGCCCCTTGTCTGGGGAAGGGCCTGGCGAGGCCTTGCTAACTAACGTGAGCTTTTTCTGGCAGCGAATATGATGAGTACGGCTTCCTGGCGGTGCCTGACTACGAGGTAGAAGACCTGAAGCTGCTGGCCAAGGTCCAGGTGCTGGAGGTCCGCTCCCACCACCTGCTGGCCCAGGAGGAGCGGCCATTGCGAGAACGCTGGGCTGCCCTGGGGGAGCTGGCCCCCTCAGCTGAACTCAAGCAGCTGCTGCGGGCGGGTGTGCCCCGAGAGCACCGGCCACGTGTCTGGAGGTGGCTTGTCCAGCTCCGGGTGCAGCACTTGCAGGTCCCTGGCCACTATCAGAAGCTCCTGAACCAGCGCCAGGCCTGTGAGCACCCTGCTGCCCGTCAGATCGAGCTGGACCTGAACCGTACCTTCCCCAACAACAAACACTTCAGCTGCCCCACCTCCAACTTCCCTGACAAGCTCCGCCGGGTGCTACTGGCCTTTTCCTGGCAGAATCCCACCATCGGCTACTGCCAGGGTCTGAACAGGTAAGCATGGCCTTACCCTTACCAAGCACACACTCCACATCTCTCATTGGATCATCCCTGAGAACCCAGAGAGGTCAAGGCAGAGATGGACCCAGAGCTCATGGACTCCAAGTCCCATGTCCTCTCCTTTGGTTTGTGTTCCGGGAAGTGCCACTCACATACCGTGTATAACCCTGCTCACATATTGTCACTAAAGGAAGAGAGACCCATTCAGAGGAGTCTTAGAACAAGGGACTCTCACAGAAGCCAGGCAAAGAAGATCAAAAGAGCTGGGGCCCAGTGGAGGCAGAGAGGCAGCTCCTCTCTCCACAGGAGCTCGTATACCCCTCCCCAAGGCTGCTTGCTCACCGAGTCTCCCTCGTCCTCCTTGTCCGCTTCCTGCAGACCAGTCTCTCTGCCCACTCATTCCTTGGACACCTAGTGCCCATGGAGGCTGTCAGAATGGAACCTCAGTCTTTTGGGTCTAGTTCTATACATCCCAGTTCTAAATTCCCCAGGGAAGGAATCTGATTGGCCCAGCATGAGTTAGTTTTCTACTTCTGGTCCAATCAGCTGGGGCCAGAAGATCAGGATGGAGTGGGCCAGGGTCACCAGTTTCGTAGGTGCACCCCCTCTAGAGTCCTTGGAGAGGTGCTAGTGGTTACATAATCTCAAATGTTTTCCCAAGAAAACTTTGACTCTCTTTAAATAGGTGTTTTAAATGGGTGTGCACTTACTCAAACCAAATTTACATAAGCCATTCTGCTTTTTTTCTTAGAGTAGGCAGTATGTGGCATTTATTTAACACATAATAAATGTTCCGAGTGTTCCTATGCAAATGTGATTGGTTCCCAAAGGTAGATATTTTTGATACTTTATTTTCCAACCTAAAACTGAATGAAACTGAGCATACAATGACTAGGACTAAAAGTTAAAGTCCAACAAGAATGCTTCCTTGGAAAATATGTTCTGATCTTATGCTCATGTAAATGTTTGCTGCTGTTGATGTCTGCGGAAGTTTATCCATTCACTCATCCATTCATTCAACAGCTGAGCAAAAACCTTTCTACATTTCTCCTGTTTGAACATGGTAAAATCAAAAAGAGAAGAAAGTGGCAAAGCCTCTTCAATAATAGCTTTGAAGGGAACTGGAAGCTATAAGATTAAGATGAATAATAATTTTTACAATTCCTGGACAAAATCAGGTAGCAACTAATACTTGGCCTCACCTAACCCTCATGAACTCAGTGAGGTGGGTCTCCATGCTCCTGTTGTACCCGTGAGGCAAGAGAAGGCCCAAGAGACGAAGGGACCTGCCTAGCGCCACACCACACATGGAGGGTGGACAAGGGGCCATACCGTCTGACCCTCCTGAATGGGGACTCTAGTACAGGGAGTGCTGAGGGTTCTCTGGATCAGACATGACCTCATCTGATACCTCCAAGAGGATAGAGGTCAGGAATCCAATCTAGTAACCATATGGGCTGCGGTGCTTTTGTCTCCGATCTGTGCTGAAAGGTAGAAAACAATCCTGTAGCAGGAGGGGGACTTGAGAGAAACTTGATAGGAAAGAAGCTACTGTGTGGAGAGAGGCCACACACTGGCCGCAGGCTCGCAGGTCCACAGTCGTGACCAAGAGAGTGAGGGCACCCACAGGGTGCTTCTTCATACTGCCTCTGAATGCTGTTTTTATTTCAACTTGACATGCAAAGATAATTGGGACCTCGGTAAACATACTATTGTTTTCAATAGAAAATAATTTGTAATGTGCCGTTGAGTCGGTTCTGATTCAGCAATTCTGTATAGGGTTTCCAAGGAGCAACTGGTAGATTTGAACCACTGACCTTGTGGTTAGCAGTCCAGTGCTTATCCTACAGTGCCACACCAGGACTTTGCAATAGAGTCCATTCAACTGTGGGCACTGCACCCTTTAGAAGGCTCTTTCTTACCCAATCCTGTGAGACCCTCATACAGTCCTTTATGGGTTTTGCCATCTAGTGGTGGCTGTTAGAACTGCCTCTGGTGCCTCAAGGACAGACTCTGGTTTCTAAGGCAACAAATCCAGGCTCTTTATAATAGAGTTCCCAGAGATTTAGTGAAAGATTTAGAAGAAAAAAATGTTAAAGCCATAGCCCTCTGAAAATATTTTCTGACTCCCTTGATATGAAGGGACTTCAAAAAGCTCATGGAAAAACAAGAGTCGAAAGATAATAGAATTTTCTCATAAACTTTTTGAAACCCCATCATGTAAGTGGAGTGCTGTAAATGTAGATTGTCCGTTCCCTCCTGACTCATGGTGTGCCTGTCTCAAGGGTCTCCTCGGCAGGCCTGCTTGGGCCAGCATGCCTTAGCTGGAATCCAGGGGCAGCACAGAGGCCTAGAATAGATTTGGTGCATTGGTTAAGTGACTTACCTTAGAGCAAATGGCACAGTAGCCTCAGATCACTGGCCTTCTGAGTGTGGAGTCTAAACGGATGTTGGCTGCTGACTCCTGGGCTGAGCACAGCCTTAGCCTTCCATGGAATGGAGGAATTAGGGAGAAGTGAAGAGGGCCCCAGGCTGGACTTTGGAATCCTAGCTGTATTTTCACTCTGCCATCAACTGACTGTGTTTACCTTAGCAAGTCCTTTGCCTTCTGAGCCCATGCAGTAAGGAGTTTGTGAAGCCCAAGGAGAGCAGTAGGAAGCAGATGCCTGTAACCCTGCCTAGAGAGAGTTTCAGAGGCTGCCTCTGGACTCACTCAGTGGACAAGTGCCCCGTGATCAGTTAGTTATGTCTGCCTGGGCCTGGACAGAGGGAGTGGTGGGAAAGCGCCATGATCAGTTAGTTATGTCTGCCCTGGGTCTGGACAGAGGGAGTGGTGGCTGGGGGATCTTAGCATTGCTGCCCCTACCCCCCACTCCTAAGGGTAGAGCCTCCAATTTCCTAGGAACCTGTGGCTATGCCTCCTCTCCACCCATTTGGAGGATTTGTACAAATCTGTGAGCCAAAGCCAGTGTACTTGGAAGGGAGAAGAGGTAGCTTTATTCTCTTTGAAATCAACCCTGTTCTTGAAGGAAATCTGAATCTCAGAAGAGGTTAGAGGTTCTGAATCCAATCTAGTAAGATTCCAGGGAAGTATAAATACCTGGACATGTGCTTTTCAGATGTTCTTTCAGTTCACAGGAAGACCGAGGCTTCAATATGGTCCCTGAGTGTGTCTGAGGGCCCTGGCTCATTTGGACCTCATGGTGTGATGCATGAAAGGGGCCCCACTGGATCACGGGGGTCTTCCCACAGGATCTCATAGAGGCTTTATTCAGATAATGTGCATCCTCAGCCTCTATGAGGGACCAGAGTGTGCAGTGTTCCCCAAGCATGTTTGAACATGCGACCTTGTGTTCATCCAGCATCTTGAGGCCAGTAGTCCATGGAAGACATTGAATCCTAAGCTGAAGATAGCTAACACTTATAAAGAGCTCGCTGTGTGCCAGGCCCTGTGCTGGGCATTGGACAGTGTTCACTCAGTTCATTCTCACAACAGTGATTGTTATGAAGAACCTCAGGCTGGGCCGCTAACTGTTAAGGTCAGAAGCTCATATCTACCAGCTGTTCCAAGGGAGAAAGACAAGGCTTTCTGCTCCTATAAATATGTACAGCCTTGGAAACCCCATACAGGGTGACTGAATCGAAATTGGTTTGACAGTACACAACCACCACAACCACGGCTTAGAGAGGTTAAGAAACCTGCCCAAGATTACCCAGCAAAGAGGCACCAGAACCAGGATTCACACCTCTCCAACGTGACTGCTAATCTCAAGGTCAGCAATTTGAAACTACCAGCCGTTCTGTGGGAAAAAGATGAGGCTTCCTGCTTCTGTAAAGATTTACAGCCTCAGAAACCCTGTACAGAGTCGCTATGAGTCAGAACCGACTCCACGGCACATAACAACAACAACAACAACAGCAAAGTCCTTGCTCTGAAAGGATCCCCATTTTACAGTTAAGAAATTGAGGCTCTGGGAGTCCCCTCAGTAGTCCTCGCCACGAAGATGTCTACCTCCCCCCATCTGCTCACTGCCGACCTCTTTGTTCCCCCTCAGGCTGGCGGCCATTGCTCTGCTGATCCTGGAGGAGGAGGAGAGCGCCTTCTGGTGCCTGGTGGCCATCGTGGAGACCATCCTGCCGGCCGATTACTACAGCAAGACGCTGACAGCCTCTCAGGTGATGCTGAGCAGCAGGAAAGCCTCACTATTCCTTTCTGAAAATGGGCCAGTCACTTCCATGGGATTGCTGGGAGGTTCTGCTGAGCTGATGGCCTTTAGAATTGTTGGGGTCCTGCCCTTGGGATCAACAGCTGTTATAGGCAGTCCCCAAGTTATGATTGGTCGATGTGTGGACAACCCCTACTTGCCCTTCAGTGTCACAGAAATTCGCCCTCACTTTGAAATGATTGAGCCAACCCCTACTCAATCCCCCTTACCTACTGCATGGGCAGCTTTTAAATTATGGAAAAGACTTTGAAACTTTTCTTGCACTAAAGTAGGGCTAACTGAAAACTGAATGCACTTGTTCCAACTCACCTACAAATTCTTAAAGGTCCAGTTAGGAACAGATCTTGTTCCTAACCTGGGACTACCTGGGTTCCCGTGATGACCCTGTGTAATTAGAAACAGGTGGTTTCCAGGCCAGAGAGAAGGAAATCCAGTGTCACTTGCTGTTTGCCACTCACAGATTTCAAAGCAGAGCCCGTGTAGGTGGGAGATGAGACCAGGAGGGTGGCAGGTGTTGATACCTTTTTATGCACACCCACCACTGTCTCCTGTGAAGCACAGGTGCCTCCCCATCTCTTTACCTCTGTGACCGCTCTCTGAGCACAAGCCAGCCCTGGAGTCAGGCAGAACTGGTTCAGAGCCCCACCCTAAGTGGTTCTATGACCTTAGCAAGTGACATCACGTCACCTCTCGGCACCCCCGGCTTGTCTGCTTGTGCACAGGAATCCTGCTGTTTCACAGGCTTGTTGAGAGGTATAGAGTGAGAACATGTCAAATCTCCCATCTCTGCTCCCTCCACCCACTGTCACAAGTCAGGGCCTCTGCTTCACAGAAAACCACTTGAAAGGGACTTCTTCCCTTCCTGAACCTAAGGAAGTCACTACTCCCTACTCATCCTCTCCTGTCCCACTTCGGTGGAGGCTGGGCCATCCTTCTGGGGGCCCTACATGTAGGGGGAGCTGAGGAGAGAGGTTCGGGGCTGCAGGTCAATACTTTGAAGTCGGGAAAGAACTGTGTACGACTGCACGGAAAGGGAAACCCATCTAACCGTGGTTTCCGTAGGATGGTGTTTCTCAGACAGTGACAAGGCTGAGGCCCTCCCGGGCCAGGCTGCTTCTAGCTCTGTCTCCAATCTCTGGCCTGTCATCTTCATGCCCCTCACCTCATGGTCACAGGATAGCTGCACCCCTCCAGCACTGTGGCCGTGGTTTAGGCCAGGAAGAGCAGAAGGTGAAAGGCAGGAAGCACATGCCAACCAAGCTGGCGCTTGCTCAAACAGCTCTCTGCCATGCAGCAATTTCCCCTCACTCCTCATTGCTCACAGCTAGGTCACCTGGCCACCTCTTTTTCTTCTTTCTAGTTTGACATCTTTGAGATGGAAGTGTGTTGTACCATCAATGTGCTTTTTTACTTTCATTTTTACAAGAAATGGAGAAAGTACTACAGTGAGACCTGCGAAGACTGGAACCGGCGTAACACAAAAACCTTCCAGAGAAGGCAAACTCAAATATTTCCCACAAACACAGAACAACAAAAAAGTGTAAAGACTGCATCTTGTCAAAGGCAGAAGACTTGCGAGACTCCAGGGAAAAAATGGGCCATTGCCTCCTGTTCCAGCTCTCGCAGGTTTCCTGTATAATTAACCTCCGTGTACCTGTCATCTAGTATTAGTAACTCTCAACACCTGGCCAGTCTTATTTCAGCTCTCCTCCCACTCAGTGCCCCTCCTCAGCGTATCTTGGAGTAAAACTCAGACTGGCATTAATTCATCTAGAAACCCTCAGTTGGCATCTTAGCCTCAGTGGCTTACCTGGGTCTGATCTGGGCACTGCCACAGCTATGGGTAAAGCTTGGATGAGGACTTACATGGGAGGAGAGGCCTTAGAGCAATTCTAGCAAAAGAAGAACGAGAGGAAACAAACGGATTGTCAAAAGTAGGGGGAAAACCACAAGAGAAGCATGACTTGGAGCCAGTTCTGGGAGGGGGGAGGGGTCCGCAGGTCAGGTGAGACAAGGACAGTGGCCACACAGAAAGGCCCCGGCAGCCATTGTCCAGCAATGTCCTGCTTTAGGAAGACCCTAATGACCACTTATCCCTAGCATCTTCAGTACTCCTGGTGTGCCAGACCCAGACAGGGTGTAGAAAAGCAGGAACAAAGTTCCCATGTCCCCTAGGGCCTTTGAGCTCAAGACCAGTTTCTCCACTTTCCACTCCCAGGAGGGTCAGGCCAGCCCCTGAGCTTCTGCTGACCGTGAGGAGCTCCACTGGAAGCATGCTGGCCCACAGCCCCAGCGCAGGTGGTCTCTCGTCTGTGTGGGAGCGCAGTGCGTCTGTCCCCCAGCCAGGCTGGGATCCGGCTTGTCCAAAAGCCCAGTGCTTGCTGGGCAGGGCAGCTCCAGGGTTGTGTGTCTGCTGAAGTGAAAGGACACATGGGAAAGAGGCAGTCCTTCCCTGGGGTGGCAGGTGACGGGCCCTCTTGCTGCCTTCAGGTGGACCAGCGAGTGCTCCAGGACCTCCTCTCAGAGAAGATGCCCAAGCTGATGGCCCACCTGGGGCAGCACCATGTGGACCTCTCCCTCATCACCTTTAACTGGTTCCTCGTGGTCTTTGTGGACAGTCTCATCAGTGACATATTCCTCCGGGTCTGGGATGCCTTCCTGTATGAGGGGACAAAGGTGGGTGCTGCCCCTGGAGGATGGAAGGCAGAGCTCACCTGTTAGGGTGGCGGAGTGCTCTGCTCCCCTGAGGGGAATGGTGGTGCTGGCTCCAGTGGTGGCCCCCTCAAGCCAGGACCCTTTCCCTGTGGCCTGATCAGAGTCACACTGCTGTTCCATCCGGTCCCCTCCAGTCACCCGGGCTCTGCCCCTGACCCTGGACAGGCCCCTCCCTGCATCCCGTTTCCCCATTGTAGCCTCGTACTGCACATTGCAGTGTGCGGGACATGTCAGATGCACCATTTCAACAGATTCCTTCCAAAGTCCTTGTCAGTGGGAGTGCTGTTCCCATTAGGTCCCACAGGGCCAACACCTCACCCAGGATCACGGACAGACAAGTGAGGATAGCCCTGGGACTCACGTCCATATCCCCAGATACCTATCAGTGCAGGCCTGCCCGGTTCTGTGGTTGTCGTTCTCCCAGGCTGCTGCTTGCCTGCCCTGGCCCCCAAGGCCCTCCTGAGCTCCAGTTTACTCCCCAGGTGGTGTTCCGCTATGCCTTAGCCATTTTCAAGTACAATGAGGAGGAGATTCTGAGGCTTCAGGACGGCCTGGAAATCTACCAGTATCTGCGCTTCTTCACCAAGACCATTTTCAACAGCCGGTGAGAATCCACCTGCAACTTCACTGCCCGGATCCCCCACCACACCCACTCATCCACACACCCCCTGATCCTCCACCACACCCACCACCCATGCACCCCCAGAACACACAGCAGTACTGATTACCAATTACAACTTTGAAATCTTTAGTGGTCAGCTGCCCCCTAACACAGCATAGGTGGCCTTGTGCAGTTTTGTTCGTGGCCCACCATTCCCCACCCCTAACACTTAATGCCCCATGATGCTGCCAAACAGAACCATTTTTTTTCCTAGAACAACTCCCATCTCTAGGTTTTTGCCCTTACAGTATTTTCTACTTAAATGTCCCTTGCCCCTTCGCCATTCCCCCCACCAACGGGATCTTCTCTTCCTGGCTAAATCCTCTTCATTCCTCAAAACTTAGTTCACATGCTACCTCCAGGAAGCCTGCTCTGAGCAGCCCTTCCTTCTTGGGTTAGGTACTCTTCTCCCCATCTTAGATAGCCCCGAACTTCCCCCTCAGTTCATATACCCCTGGGTGGAAATAGTCTTTTTTTCTCACTGTTACTCCTCTGGAAGGGGACTTCCTGAGGGCGGGTCTGAGGGTCCTCAACCACATGGGAGGAATAAATGCGGTGTCTGGAAGGGTGGTTGAGCCCACCTGGGTGGGACACTGCTCCTGCTGATTGTCCTTCCTCCAGGAAGCTGATGAATATAGCCTTCAACGACATGAACCCCTTTCGGATGAAGCAGCTGAGGCAGCTGCGGATGGTCCACCGGGAGCGGTTGGAGGCTGAGCTGCGGCAGCTGGAACGCATCAAGGCCGAGTACCTGGAGACCAGGGCCTTCCAGGGCCGAGTAGCACCCAAGGGCTGTGCCAGTGAAGATGAGGGCGAAGGTGAGGTGGAGGTCTGACGTTACCACCTGCCCTCTCTCATGCTTGGCCGGCAGGCCCACGAGGACAGGCTTGGACCCTGGGCCTCAGGCTCTGCCATTGAGACATGTCTGCTGTGAGACCATTGGTCAGGTTACCTCTTTATGGACACATATCGGATGCCATCTCTTTAGGATGCCCCCTACACACATAGACCACTTTACTGTGTTGACGAGCAAGACTGCTGTCCTTACAGGATAACCCTGAAAAGCCTTTAAGTTATATCCATATAAAGTGTGGGACAATGGAACAAGTTCACAAGTGTTGGAACTTAAATGACTCTTAAATGTCCCAAGGCACCAGAGCGTCCCACCTCCACACTATCCCCCAGCCCCACTCCCCAGCCCGGGACATCTGTGGCTTGTTTCTGTAGGCATGTCTCCTGGTTCCCATGGCACTGGGCCCTGAGCTCTTAGGGTTCCTGTCTTTCTGAGCAGCAGCGTCTCCCCAGTGCTGGTGAAGACTCTATGCCAGGCTTGTTTTTCCAGCCTACTTTGGGGGATCCTCAGGGGAAAGCCCCCTGCCCATCACCAGGGGGCACTTTGTGGGGATTGGGCCGAGAGTCCTGGGTCAGCCACTCCATTTTGGTCTCTTACAACCATCCTCACAGGCTGGGGCACAGAGAGTTCCTTGGAGGGTTGTGGGGCTGGGGATGTAGGGAGGGGCACCTGCAGCCCTTTCGGGACTGGCTCAGGGTAGCATCACTGTATACAGGAACTCAATTTTCCATGGCCCTGACCAAATTTTGATTCTTCTGGGCCCTTCTCAGTCCTTCCTTAGCAAAAAGCTTCTCCCTCCCCTGCAGGAGTCAAGGTTGAGCTTGACTCTCTGGTACAGAGGTATAGGGGAGGGGTCTCACATAGAGACCTCCTCTCACTGGCAAACCACCCAGGATTAGAGTTGGTTTGTTGTAAGAGCCCTTGAGTCAGTTGTGACTCAGAGTGACCTTGTATAGGGTTTCCAATGAGTAGCTGGTAGGTTTGAAAGGCCAACCTTGTGGTTCGCAGTCCGTGCTGATCTTACAGCACCATGTTGTTGTTGTTGTTTAGTGCCATTGAGTCAGTTCCAACCCATAGATATCCTGTATAGGGTTTCCTAGGAGCAGCTGGTGAGCTTGAACTACTGACCTCGCACTTCAAATAAATACCCTCAAATCTCCTACCTCTGCTCTGGCTGGTTACTCATACCAGCTGCCCATTACTCCCACACCGTGCCCCCGGCAGCCTTGGGGTGGGCACACTCTCAGCTCCAGTCTCACACATTCACATCCTGAGTTTCCCCTGAATGCTTCACTCTGGGGCTTGGCTAAAACCACACCCACAGGGCCTGCTGCCGGTGGGAGAGTGGCTTGGGAGTCCTGGCTGCACCCTAACTGTTGTCTGGGTGACTGATGAGGGATCCTGGGTGCTGGGGTCTAGAGAAGAACCGCCCCCCAAGACTCCAGCTCTGAAGTTCAGATTCTCCTTCTGAGCGCACTCTCCGCCCTCCCCTTCCTGCCTTTCCTTTTGCCCGCCTCCCTCCCTTCCTCCTTTTTCTAGTTTCCCAGCCTCTGTCCTGGTGGCACAAAGGCCAGCAGTTAAATGTATCCAGAGGCTCCACAGAAAAGATCTGAAAGATGGTTGTTGTCGTTACGTGCCATTGAGTCAGTTCTGACCCATAGAAGGAGCAGCTGGTGAGCTTGAACTGCCAACCTTACAACTCTAACAACTTTACAGCCTGACTCATTAGCCCACAGCGCCACACCAGGACTCCCAGTAAAGATTATAGCCTGGGAAACCCTCTGTGGCTGGTCTTCACTGCCCTATAGGGTCACTCAGTCAAATTCTGACTCCAAGGAAGAAGGTAACATGCCCCTCACCTTCCTCCTCCTGCCTGCTTCTCTTCTCCCCTCTTCATTCTCTCTCTCATCCTCTGCCTTCCCCCACCACCACCACCACCACCACTTCCTAGCAGAGAAGTAGCTGTGCCCAGAGGTGGGTGCCCACGGTGGGGGGATTGTGGGGAGAGGTGTGTTACAATTGGCCTAACATTGTGTCCCAACCTGACTGCACTGCAGAACCTCCTGAGTAGCTTTTCGTATTGCCGTTGCTGGACCCTGTGGGGAGAGCATGTTGTGAAGTTGGGGTAGCCTGCTATACCAAGGGGACTGGGCACCCCAGGACTGTATGGACTGACTGGTGGCATTGCCAGCCATGAGGTGGGAGCTGTAGGGTGTGGACAGTTCTTGGCCAACGCCCGCTCACTCCAGATCAACCAGTTCACAGAGGACAAAACCAGGGCTCAGGGTATCTGACCTGGCCCTCTGTTAACACATCCCCATGGAGGGCCCTGACTGTAAAATCAGGGAGAGCATCTCCCAGCTCACCTTACAACCCCAGGAGGAAGGCAGAAACTGGCCTCAGGGTTGGTGGAGATCCATGGGGGAAGCTCCAGGCAAAGGAGACAGTGAGGAACACCTCATGATGGTCCCACGATGGGCTTTTAGTGATGCTGCCCATGGAAAGCTGACACCCCTGCCATGCATGGGGGAATACCCTGAGAAAGTCTGAGGCTGCTCCTAACCAGCCTGCCCCTGCTGCCCCTCCCCCTGCTTTTCCTGGAGGGTGTTTGGGGCCCGCGCCTGGTGTCAGGTTCCTGGTCCTGCATCACAGCTGTCAGCCTGTCCCCAGGGGCCTTCCCTGGCTGGGAATCTGTGCCCTCTTTGCCCCAGCCTCTTACCCCTGGGGATGGAATCGCATGCTGAAAACATCCCTCCAAGGGCACGTGTGGCCCCAGTTTATGGGTTGGGGGAGCAGGGCAGAGATGCTCTGGGGAACCTCTGCTTAGGGTGCCATTTTCAGAATAAAGAGGGGCCCAGAGAACCACCCCTACCAAGTGGGATGTGCACACTTCATAGAATTTCTGTGTTCAGGGCTATGGTTCTTCAATGGCGGGGCAGGTTGTTGTTAATTGCCGTAGAGTCATTTCTGGAGTCATAGTGGCCCGGTATAGGGTTTCTGAGGAGTGGCTGGTGGGTTTGAACTGCCAACCTTTCCATTAGCAGTCCAGTGCCCATCCTACAGCGCCTCACCAGGGCACCAGGCAGGAGCATCTCCACATTTCCCAGAGACCCTGAGAAGGAGGGAGCCCCGCCCCTTGTAGTGCTTTGACCCTGAGTGCCCAAAGGAGGTGGGACTTGGGAGCACATCCTGGTTGAGGATTGAGGTCAAGGTCCTGCAGGGTGGAGGGAGGAAGAACCCTGGAAGTTTAGGGAGGGTAGCACACAATGGGTCCCTATCTCTAGAGGTGTGCAGGCAAGCTTGGAGGAGAACTGGGGTGGGGAAGAGGATGCCAAGATTAGGAGGCACTTCAGCCAGAGGGAAACTCTGAAGGCTAGCTCGATGTCCTGTGCACAGAACCTCTTTGTCCCAAACACGGTCCGACTCTATATTGTACAGAATGCCCCATGTGAGACCAGGAGATGGACGTTGATTCCACACATGGCAAATTAAACAGATCTGGCTGTGCAGATCTACCCAATGGAAGGAGCTGCTTTCCTGGCTTATCCCCATAGAAGATGCTGGCAGATGGGCCTGGCTTTAAAGCCTGACCTGCTATGTGGCTTCCTAGTTAGGGGTCCCTTGGCAGGTTGTCTCTGCTCTGGTCTGAATTTCCTTCATCATATGGGTGGGGGTGGATGGGTCCGGAGACTATGTTCTCAAAGGAAGTGCAGTGGAGTGAGTCAGTTTAGCTGGCTGATAGCATAGTGCCCTCTGTTGTCTCTGCCCCCAGCTCCACCACACAGGCTAAGTAACCCTATGAAGGATCCTGGGTGGTGTCTAATGCAAAGGCCTCCCATGGGTATCCCTTCTAGCTCCTCCATTCATATGTACATGACCCCCAGAGAAGTCCAGAAATAGGTCCAGCTACCATGTAAAAAAAACATTTACTGATGAAGATCAGAGAGCACAGCCTTTGGTATGAATTGCATCTCAATGTAAAGAAAACAAAAATCCTCACCACTGGACCAATAAACAACATTCTTATCAACAGAGAAAAGATTGAAGTTGTCAAGGTCTTCATTCTTCTTGGATCAACTATCAACACTCACAGAAGCAGCAGTCAAGAAATCAAACGATGTATTGCATTAGGCAAATTCCCTGCATAAGACCTTTTTAAAGTGTTGAAGAGCAAAGATATCAGCTTGAGGACTAAGGTGTGCTTGACCCAAGCCATGGTATTTTCAATAACCTCATATGCATGCGAAAGCTGGACAGTAAATAAGGAAGACAGTTGAAGAATTGATGCTTTTGAGTTATGGTGTTGGAGGAGAATATTGAAAGTGCCATGGGCTGCCAAAAGAACCAATAGATCCATTTTGGAAGAAGTGCAGCCAGAGTGCTCCTTGGAGGCCAAGATGGCCAAACTTCATCTCATACTTCAGACATATTGTCAGGAGGGACCAGTCGCTGGAGAAGGTTATCATGTTTGATAAGGTAGAGGGGTCAGAGAAAAAGAGGAAGACCTCCAACGAGATTGATAGGCCAAGTGGCAACATCGATGGACTCAAGTGTGGCAACAGTAGTGAGGTTGGCCCAGGATTGGGCAGTGTTTTGCTATGAGTCAGTTCAACTTGATGGCACCTAACAACAACAACCATGTCACAGGGTATTAAGTGCTGTTGAGTCAGTTCCAACTCATAGCAACCGTATATAGGGTTTCCCAGGAGTGGCTGGTGGGTTTGAACCGCTGACTTTGTGGTTAGCAGTCCAGTTCTTATTCTATCAAGTTGGTTCTGACTCATAACAACCCTGTATAGGGTTTCCAAGGCTATAAATCTGCAGGAACAGAAAGCCTCATCTTTTTTCTATGGAGCAACTTGTGGGCTTGAACTGCTGACCTTGCGGTTCTCAGATCAGTGTTTATCCTACAGAGACACCACATTCCACATCACAGGGTGTTGTTGTTAAGTACCATTGAGTCAGTTACAACACATAACAACCCCGTGTAGGGTTTCTGAGGAATGACTAGTAGGTTTGAACCTCTGACCTTGCGATCCAGGACATCACAGGGTAGGAGGAGGCAACTGTCAGGCACATCCACAAGGCATCTAGGAAGGCTTTCTAGGAGATGGGGGATTGGTGCTAGGCCTAGAGGATGCCAGAAGATAACACTGGGAAAGAATTCCTGGTAGAGGAGATTCTTAAAGGCACAGAGATATGAGGATGTGGGGTGAGGCATGTTGTAGGGGAGGATGAGCTGGAGAGACTGGCCCAAAGCCACGATGAATTAAGATGGCTTAGCCTCAGAAAAGTAACGGTGTCCACCCCCCAGGTGTAATTCAAAATAAAGCATTATTAAGCCATATTGTTAAGTGCCTTCGAGTCAGTTCCAACTCATATAGACCCTGTATAGGGTTTCTGAGGAGCAGCTGGTGGGTTTGAACTGCTGACCTTGTGGTTGACAGTCCAGTGCTGATCCTACAGTGCTACACCAGGAATCCCTATTAAATCATGAGCGTAAAGAATTCACACAACATTGTTTCTGTCAATAAGCTTTTTAAAAACATCACATGTCCAACTCTTTCCTGCTGGTTCTCAGAGCATGTGTTTAGTCTGTTTACTAGGCAGTCTAGGTCTGACTGGTGGAGGCTTTGAGGGCCATACTGAGTGGCTGGGCTTTGGGCTATAGGAAGGCAACACATCCCGCTCTGGACAGTGAAGTGACCCCCCAAGAGCAGTGAACGCAGAGTCAATAGCTCCCAAGTACTTAGCCCCTCTAAACCTCAATTGTCTTATCTGTAAACTGAGAATAATAAATAATGTTAAGTGCCATTGAGTAGGTCCGACTCATAGCAACCTTGTCTAGGGTTTCCAATGAATGTCTGGTGAGTTTGAACCACCAGTCTTGGGGTTCAAACCGACTTTGTTGTCACGTGCTTATCCTATAAGCGTAGTGTAGTGGTTACAAATTGGGCTGCTAACCTCAAGGTCAGAAGTTTGAAACTACTAGCTGTTCCAAGGGAGAAACATGAGACTTTCTGCTCTAGTAAAAATTTACAGCCTTGAAAACCTGTACAGGGTTCACTATGAGTCGGAACTGACTTTACGGCACACCACCACCAATAAAAAGATGTAGGATGGAGGCCTGGTGTGGTACTGTAGGATTAGCACTGGCCTGCTTATTGGATGGTTGGTAGTTCAAACCCTATACAGAGTTGCTATGAGTTAGAACCAACTCAACTGCACTTAACCAATAACAGTAATAAAAGGATTATTAGGATTCAGTGTGATTAAAGTGCTCAGCTGCTGACTGAAAGGTCAAAGTGCAGGAAGTGGCCATCTGTTTCCATCAAGATTATAGCTGTGGAAACCCTATGAGGCTGGTCTCTGTCCTGCAGTGTTGGTGGGAGTCAGAGCCAACCCAAAGGAAATGAATAGTGCAAAGTACTCTGATCATTCAACATGGAAAGATGCTTCAAAGAAGCAAAGAAATTCCATGAAAATACACCTCGAAATAAAACTAAGATCTCTTCCAAGAGAGATGAGTGGTGGGGTGGCTGTCAGTTTAGGTTTGGGAACAATGCAGCCTAGGATTGAATTACTAGATGTGGGGCGTTAGTAAATTACCTCT